CAAATAATTCCTTCTATACACTTCGTGTAAAGAAAACCCAAATTCACTCTATGCCCCAAATCCGCCTTTGTAGTAAGCCACAAGATCTAGATTTCTTCCGCGGTAATCTTTCCCAAGTCTTGTTTGTTGAAAACCATGTACCCAAGGATACTATAAAGAAGTCTTATAGCTGGGTGCATGATTTAACTAGCCAATGAATATTTGGCATTGAAGGAATCCATTCTCAAGATGCATTTCCACCACTCGAGGGGGTTATACTCACGAAGAACTTCGTGCTCAGAAAAGAACATGTCAGCGTCAGGGTTGAGGTCTCGGAGTTGGTTGAATTGGAAAAGGTTTATTGTTTCTTTTATATTGAAGAATTGGAAAGAGATGGTGAGGTCCTTTTCTTTTGCGACATGGCATTCGAAAGAAGCTAGGAACTCAAGAGTTGGTTTTATGTATGTTCTGTATGGGTTTGCCACAACAGAGCCCAACCTTAGATTGTTGAATAAGAACCAACAATCGTCATCGATGCCAAGTTTGGTTGTTGAAGGTTGGTGATAGTTTTTGGTGGATCTAAATTTCCTATTTTGCAAGTTGTCATAGATGGTTTTGTGGTTTTTGTTGTGAAATTTGAGAGGTGGCAAAGGTGGTGGTGGTGGTTGTTCATCGGGTTAGGGGTTTTGGAGTTAGAACCTTGGGGTTCCTTCCCACTCTTTCTCTTTTTTGAACTGAACACCATTTTGACAATCACCAAAGTTCAATCAATCACAACTCAAATCACAAGAACAATCCCACTAGTTCAACAAGCCCTCACAATTTCCACACTTTAAAATTCACCTAACAACACCAATCAATCAATACTACCCACCAACAATCAACAAGATCAACAAATAATCAACAATCAACCAAGCTTAAGAAGATACTTAAATACGAACTGGCATGCATACATCAAAAATCCCCAAACGAATTCACAAGAACAATAATTTTTCTCACCAATAAAATTGCTAAAATTTCAATTAAAACTAGAGAAAGAGTGAAATATACCAAGAATGAGTGACCAAAATCCACCCCAACTAACCTTCAGAAGAAGAAATCCATGCAACCTTAAGAATCTTGCAATGGAGAAACCGTGAGATCCGCGAAAAGAACAACCCGAAGTGAATCTTGAACGGCAAAATTGCAAAGATTTGATAAAGAAATTCTAGGGAGAGTGTAGGAATTTGATGATTTTTTTATAGTTTAAGAGGTAGGGAAGGTAAGGGTGTGAGGGAGTTTAAAGTTTTAGAGAGAGACAAAAAAGAGATTCGAAAATAGGGGAAATAAGGAGGGGTGTAGCTACTAATGAAAAGAAACTGGGATTTGCAGACCCGGTTCGCCGCGCCCGCGGGTATAAGGGCCTCACCTGGGCATGCAGATCTGCGCCCTCTCTCCTGGGGCGTGACGAGGCATCTCCAGAATATGATTTACTTGTGAAGAACAGACAACTGCGCCCGTGGGTCAAATAGCCGCGCCCGTAGCAACTAGATCCGCACCCTCTACTTGGGCGCGGCGAGGCATCTCCAGAAAGTTAAAGGGTGGCTTGAGTCCCTGTACACTCCCGCGGGTCTAAGGGTCGCACCCACGGGTCCCTGGAGAGGTCTCTCCCTAGGCCTTAAGCCCTTGACACCTAGATTTCAACCCTTTCTCCTTTCATAACCTAATCTTGACTCTTGAAAACGATCCCTTTACGAACCTACAAATCCAAGTCAAAGTCCACAAATGCAATGCCCAAAAGTTCAAGTACCTACAGAAGAAAAGCCAAAGACCATAAGATAAGAACTATAAGAGAGATCAACCAAAATCGACCAAATAAAGGAAATAAAGAAGCAAAAGAGTTGAGAACTCGGGTTGCCTCCCGAGAAGCGTTTCATTACGAGGTCACTAGCTTGACCACGAGAAATTATCATACAGAGGGTGGCTTAAGACCATGAAATTTTTGTCACCCACCTCTAACTCAAAAGACCCATAAGGAGTAGTCTTTGATTTTATGAAAGGCCCCGACCATTTGGATTTGAGCTTTTTGGGAAACAAACGAAGCCTAGAGTTGAATAACAAAATCTTGTCTCTAACCTTGAAGCTCTTGTTTCTTATGTGTTGGTCGTGCCATTTCTTGGTTTTCTCCTTGTATAGCTGTGAGTTCTCGTAGGTATCATATCTAAGCTCCTCAAGTTCATTGAGCTTGAGCAATCTCCTCTCACCGGCCAACGACATATCCATGTTAAGTTCCTGGATGGCCCACTAACCGTTATACTCCAACTCAACCGGCAAATGATAAGCCTTCCCATAGACCAACCGATAGGAGGTTTACCAATTGGAATCATGTACGCCGTTCGCAAGGCCCAAAGTGTGTCGTCAAGCTTGAGGGACCAATCCCTCCTAGATTTGTTGAACATCCTTTCAAGAAGGTTCTTGATCTCTCTACTTGACACCTCCACTTGCCCTTGAGTTTGAGGATGATAAGGTAAACCAACTTTGTGATGAACTCCATACCTCTTGAGAAGAGCTTCGAGTTGCTTCTTAGCGAAGTGGGAACCTCCGTCACTAATTAGTACCCTAGGAACCCCAAATCGTGGAAAGATGATTTTCTTGAGAAGCCTAAGCACAACCTTATGATCATGGTAGGGGAAGGTATGGCTTTAATCCACTTAGTTACATAGTCAACCGCTACCAAGATGTATAAATTCCCACATGACGAAATATAAGGCCCCATAAAGTCGACACCCCAAACATCAAAAGGCTCAACTTCCAAAATGTTTTGTTGAGGCATTTTATCTCTTTTGGTTATACCACCACTTCTTTGGCACTTGTCGCATCTTAAAACAAACTTGTGAGAATCCTTATGCATCGTTGGTCACCATAGGAGAGATTAAGAAATCTTTTCTACCGTCTTTTCAACTCCCCCATGTCCTCCACGTGGTAATGAGTGGCAATGCTCAAGAACTCCTTTAATTTCATGGTCTGGAACACATTTCCAGAAAAGGCCATCTGCACACTGTTTAAACAAGTAGGGGTCATTACAAAAGTATCTCCTCACTTCCTTGAAAAACCTCTTCTTTTGTTGACAAGAGAACTCCGGGGGAACGACTCCGCAAGCAAGATAGTTGGCTACTCCACATACTATGGGCTAGACGTTGAAGCTACAGCCATAAGAGTTTTAAATCCTACATCTTCATTGATTGGTACATCTTCCTTGTTCTAAAAAGGAAGCGTGAACAAATGATCCGCCACGTAGTTCTTCGCTCCCTTTTTTTCTCTCATCTCCATGTCAAAATCTTGAAGTGAAATAACCCAACGGATGAGGCGTGGCTTTGCTTCCTTCTTGGTCATAAGATAGCGAACCGCTATATAATCCGTGTACATAATCACTTTGGAGTAAATGAGATAGGACCTAAATTTGTCCACGGCAAACACAACCGCAAGCATTTCCTTCTTCGTCATTGTGTAATTCTTTTGAGCTTCATCAAGAGTTATACTTGCATAATAGATGACATGAGATCTTCCTTATTTCTTTTGCCCAAGCACCACACCTACTGCATAATCACTCGCATTGCACATTAGCTCAAAAGGCAAGCTCCAATCCGGATCTTGCACAACGGGAGAGGAAATGAGAGCTTCCTTGAGCTTTTAAAATGCCTCAAGACAAGCCTGATTAAAGCTAAACAAAACATCTTTCTTGAGTAATTTGGTCAAAGGTTTGTCCTAGAAAATATCTCACTCCCATAATGAAAGTAGGAGGGGGAAACTTTGCAATCACCGAAACTTTGGCCGAATCAACCTCAATGCCCTTCTTTGACACTTTATGGCATAGAACAATACTTTCCTGAACCATAAAGTGACATTTCTCCCAATTGAAAACCAAACTCGTCTCTTGACACCTTTTCAAAACATTTTCAAGATTATATAGACAAGTGTCAAAAGACGTGCCACCAACACTAAAATCATCCATGAAAACTTCAATCTCATTTTCAAGCATCTCAGAAATAATGGAAGTCATGCATCGTTGGAATGTTGAAGGAGCATTGCATTATCCGAATGGCATTATTCGGTATGCAAATGTTCCATATGGACATGTGAAAGTAGTTTTCTCTTGGTCATTTTGGTGGATAGGGATTTGGAAATACCCATCCAAGAAACAAAAGAAAGCATGGTGAGAAAGTGTCTTTAACATTTGGTCCATGAAGGGGAAAGGAAAATGGTCTTTCCTTATATTTTTGTTTAACCTCCTACAATCAATACACATTCTCCACCTAGTCACCGTATGGGTGGAGATTTTCTCTCCTCCTTCTCCCTTGACGATGGTCATCCACCCTTTATTTGGAACCACGTCAACTGGGCTAATCCACTTGCTATCTGAGATACCATAAATTATACCCGCTTCACGCAATTTCAAGATTTCCTTTTTGACAATCTCCTGGAGGTTGGGGTTCAACCTCCTTTGAGGTTCAATTGAGGTGGATTGATCATCCTCAAGGTGAATACCATGCATGCACAAAGAGGGGCTAATACCCTAGATATCGTCAATGTTGTACGCTAACACATCTCTATATTTTCTCAACATAACAAGCAATTTTTCCAAATCAAGACCATCAAGGGTAGCATTAACAATAATAGGGTATTACCCTTCATTTCCAAGATAAGCATATTACAAGGAATGGGGGAAAAGGTTTGAGTTCTACCTTGGGAGGAGGCTTGGAACTCTCCTCCAATTTCTCCTCCTTTAGTTCAAACTCGTCATCTTGTTGTTCATCCTCTTCCTGCTTTTGAGCTTCTTCCATGGCCATGACAAACTCTTTTGCCTCTTGAGAGTTGTAGTCTTCCTTGCATGTAAAAGCTTCAACCATTGGATCTTGAGGCTTCCTCATAACCCTTCCCAAGTGATCTAAATCCTCATTCACACATCAACTCCATAGCATTTTTCAACCATGGGGGTCTTGAGTAACTTAGAGATCGCAAAAACAATCTTTGCATTGGCCACATCACATGTAATGGTTGTTCTTGCAATTGATCACCGCCCCCAAAGCCTTAAGAGCTTCAGAACCAAAAATAACAGGAGTATCAGCATCTTCTTCCATATCCATCACTACAAAATCACAAGGCACATAAATACGCCCAACTTGAATAGGAAGCTCACTACAAGGTAACTTCACCGAACGGTCAACCAATTGGATAGTCTTCCTTGTAGGGATCATTTTAATGTTATGATTTTGAGCAATAGATAGAGGAATTAATCTAAAACTTGCTCCAAGATCGCTAAGGTGCCCCTAGATTCCATGTTCCCAATCTTTACCGGCAAAGTGAAACTTGCTGGATCTTTTTTTTTTCTTGGGCATCTTATGTTGGACAAGTGCACTCACTTGATAGGGAAGAGTGATGAGCTCATCATTGAGATTCCTTTTCTTGGTGAGAATATCTTTGAGGAACTTGGAGTATGAAGGCATTTGTGTGACAACTTCGATGAAAGGGAGGTTGATGTGCAAATTCTTCATCACACTAAGGATCTTTACAAACTTATCATTCAACTTCCTCTCCGCAAGTCGATCGGGAAATGGAACCGGCCCATCAAGATTCCTACCCCCACTAGGATTTGAAGTAGTATTCTCATCATTAAGCTTCTTCTTCGCCATACCTTCTTCTTTCTTAACAACCTTGTCTTCCTCAACTTTCTTATCTTCACCCACACTCTCTTCTCCTTATTTCTTTTCCTCACTAACCCCCTCCTTAGGACTTTCTTAGGATGTACCCGATCTCAATGTGATTTCCTTGCAAGAGTCGGTTTTTATGATGTTAGATGGGTTAGTTTGTGATCATCCGGGTAGAGTAGAAGGTAAATTGAAAGGGACTCTCTCGGTCAATTGAGCTAATTGTGAATCAACCATCTCGTTATGAGCTTTGACCTCTTACATTTGTTGATTCATGGCTTGATGTTGTTGAAGAATTTGGGTTTATGTAGAATCGGGTTGATATGCTTGCTCTTGGCTCTTTTGAGACACTTGATTTTGATTGTTGTATTGGTTTTGGTTATTGTGTTGGTTGTTACTTGGGTAGTTTCCTCTTGGGTTTTGGTTTTGAAATGGAGGTGGGTTTAGGTATTGAGGGTTAGAGTTGTATGATTGTTGAGTTTGTTGACTCCATTGTTGAGGTTGGTGTGCAATCCGAGTGGTGGTTGCCTCCAAGCTACTCCACCGCCACTTCTCCTATATCCATCTTGCCTTGTGTTGTATGCCACCACACGCTCGAGGCTCAAACCTCCACAATAAGATGTATCGTGGTTTGTACAACCATAATTTTTACAAGAGAAATAACTTACTAGAGAATAGCTTGTCCAACTATTAACACTCGTATTCAACTTAGCAAGCCCTTTTGTTGGAAGCTCAATTTGATGTTGCAATTGATCAACCTTCCCTAATTCATGCGTCCTAGGCCACCTTTCTTTGGTGTGTTCCTCCTTCTACCACCCTAAGAGTAGTTATTCTCTACCTCTTCAATTTTTGCTTTAACTTGATTTTTGGGGATCTTAATCAATTGTTCACCACCCTCCCCCCCCCCCCCCCCGCATCCAAGTTACCTCTAGACATAGGTTTCAATCCATCATAAAAGAATCGCATGGGAAAGCTTTGATTGTATTCATGGTGAGGACATGCTTGTACCAACTCCTTGAACTTTTCGCAAGCTTCACGAAGACTCTTATCCTCTTCTTGTTCAAATGATGCAATCTTCTTTCTCATTTCGGCGGTCTTTTCTTTGGAAATGAACCTCTTTAAGAATGCCTTCACTATCTTTCTCCATGTTGTAAGAGAATTTGGCTTAACTTGTTTGAGCCACTTCTTTGCTCTACCCAAAAGAGATTGTCAAAAAATGTGCATACGGATGTGTTCTTGAGAAACATCATTGGTTTGAATCATGGCATAAAGCTCAAGGAATCTATCAAGGTGTTCAATAGGATCTTCACTTGGATAACCCGAAAATTGTTCCGCTTGTACCATACTAGTGTATTGAGGATGAATGGTAAAATTGGTTTCCGTGAAGGGTAGCACAATCCCTCCCGTGAGCTCATAATCCATCTTATTGTCCCGCCATTTCCTCACTTTGAGAATTCGAAGACCAAGAATCACTCTCACTCTCAACAATAGCACCAAGACCTCGCCCCTCTTCTTGATAAAGCCTACGTACTTGTCTCAAAGTTCAGTCGCTCTCGTGGTCAATATAATGTGTAGGTGGTCCTTGAGATCTCCTTAGCAATCACCAAATCTAAGTAAATAATTAAAAATGACTGGCAAGAGAGCAAAGGAACAAAATTAAAAGCAACAAATCCAATAACAACACAATAAGAGTGCAAAACTAGCCGTCTCCCCGGAAACGACACCAAAAATTTGATCGGCGAACAATAGGTGGTGTCTACTATCTTAAATCAAATCAATAATTTATATTCCTAACCTAACTCTATCTAGTTTACACTAGACAGTGGCAAGCTATGGTCGAACCACAAGGAAACGGGGTTTTGCACAATCAAAGTGGAATTAAGAATCTGTTGCATGTAACAAGGGATATTTTGGTTTGTATTTGTGAATATCTAAGATTAAACTATCTACCAAAAAGATATTAAAATAAGAAAAATTAGGAGTTGAACTAGAATCACTAAAATAAAGATGAAAAACAATATTTTAAGGGAAATATGATCAAAAACACTAGGGACAGGGGGCTCCAATCATTATCAACTAAGAGAACTATGATAATCATCATGGATTCATGCTAAGGAGTACAAACTCTGCTCAAATTAATTCATTCTCATGCAATCACTCAAAGCAAGTTGATGAAATCGATCAAACCTAAACTAGATCATTCTCATGCATCTAATCTAGAAGTCAAATATTAGGGCTAGAGGTGCACTGATACGTGTCATTTATGACACATATTAGGGCGTTTTTCTCCCTTAGTTTTAGGTTTATTTCGGTGTTTCTTTGTTTTTTCTATTCCTTTTAGTCTTGTTTTATTTATATTTGTCTTAGTTTATGGTTTTAGGCCTTAGTTGTGAATAATATGCTTTTTGCTCGGTTTCTAGCTTGATTTGCATGTTTTTCTATGTGTTCTTTCACTCTCTTCTCTCTTGGTCTATTTGTGTAGGTGCTTGACGCTTTCTTCGATGCTTATGACCCGAGAAAAGGTAAGAAAGTTCAATAGAAGAAGCTTGAAGCTAAGAAAGAAGCTAAGAAGCTTGAGACAAGAAAGCATGAAGCTCATAGAAGGCCTTAAACCAAGTCTTGTTCACTCTTTCAGCCATAACTTTTGATATACACATCGGATTGAAAGGATTCAAATTGAGTTGGAAACTAGACTTGAAGAGCTTTCCAATGGTAGGTCGCACACCACAAGAAACGTCCTAGAACAGAAGTTATGGTCGTTTGAATCCGCAAGATACTGCCAGGCTACGCAGCCTCCGCGGGCGCGGCCGCACCTGCGGCCATTTCGAGCGCGGGCGCGGCACTCTGTTTTCCCGGATTTGCAACTTTCTGGAGATGCCTTGCCGCGGGCGCGGCGACTTCACCCGCGGGTGCGGGGTTCTGGGTCTTTTACGAGCTTAATTTTTGGATTTCTTTCTTTCTCTCCTTGTAATATAAATAGAGCACTACTTAGACTTCCTAAGGGGGGGGTTTGGGGTCTTCTTTCCTCTTTGAGGGGATGAAACCCCTTTGCCTTCTCCATCATTTTATCACTTAGATTAGGGCTTAGATTTAGTTTTTTCTTTGTTTTGTAATTTAGTTTAAAAGTAGTTTAGAGAGAGAAAGTGAAGAGCTTCAATGGTGGATTGAAGAGGTTGAAGATTCAAAATGTGACATTGTTTTGGGTTCCTTTTCAATACTTCAATGAGCATTCTAAACTCTATCTCATTTATTGTTTTCTTGAATTATTGCTTTGATTAAGTTGCTCTTGTTATTGATTTTGTTCTTAGTTTAATGTTTTCCCTAATTTCTTGTTTACGTAGTTTAATTGTTTAGGTTTAATTGTTCTTGTTAGTTTGGTTTAATTGGTTTCTTGATTGTTCTTCTTTATTCTTGTTAGTTTAAAATGATTTAGTTTCTTTGTTTTTTTTATCTAGTCATGTTAGTTTAGTTTCCTAGCTAGGGTTAGGGATGATTGTTGATTAATGTGCAAAATGAACACTTTATTGATGGTTTGATGGGGATTGTTGGTGTATTGAACTAAGAATGAAGGGCTTAATGCTTGGTGTCTTTTTAGCCAATCGATATCATGATTTAATCGCTATTATGCTAGGTGTACGAGAGTGAGCTAGTTTAATAGAAGAATTTCGTTGCTTGGTTGACCACGACCTCATAGGCGGGGTTGAGAGTCTAATGGACTAGTGTGTGCGAGAGTGACCTAGGTTGTTAGGCAATTCTCCATATTATCGACTTGACCAATTAGATTATTGATGATTGTTTGCTTGCGATTGATTAGTGCTAGTATAGTGGTGTGTGCGGATTAATTCTTAGTGATTTGGATGTGCTCATTGAGGTATGTGTAATGCTTGCTTTCGCTTTGGCCGGTTGAATGCATGATCTAATTGCTACCCATTTAGTTGCTTGGGAAAGAGCTAATTAGGTAGAAGTGAACCCTTTGAGTTGATCACGAGCCCTTGCCCGGGATTGGGTGATTGATTATGTAGCGTGCTCGGGAGAGACCTAGATGATTGAGCTTCGCCCCTTTCAAGTTATTTAGAATGTTTGTGTTCATTGTTATGCTTGTGCTTGTCACATTGATTGCCTTGATTTCTCTTCCCTAGTGATTTAGTTTCTTAGTTCCTTTCCTTAGTTTTTAGTCTTCTATCCTTAGATTTAGTCCTCTCTTCCCCCATGTCCTTTGACCTAGCTTAGTAGCGGTAGTGTATACAATAATTCGCCGTCTCTGCGGATCGACCCTTTACTTATCACTAGACTTGTTTGGTGTAGGTTTAGGTATATAATTATTGTTTGGTAGAAGGTAGTTAGTCCAACAACCTAGCTATTCGCCTCTTATCAAAATGGCGCCGTTGCCGGGGACGGATTCCATTATCGTTGCATTACCTTACTAGTATAGGTCTTTGTGCATATTTTATTTTCTTTTTGTTTGATTCTGTGTACATTTCTCTTATTTCTCCTTGTAATAGGAACTTGATATCTATACTCTTGCGCATGGACCTTGGATCGAGAACCGTAACAAGAAACAAACGAAGGAATGCTTGAAAATAGAAGTTGAAGCATCAAAGAAGAGCAATTTGAAGGAAATGAGCAAAATGAGTTCTTTTGCGGGGTTCTACACCCACCTAACACTTGGTTCACTCTTTCCAATTACTCTCATTTATTGCTTTACCTTTTTATTTGCATATGGTTTTAAAGGTACATGTTTGTGGTTTTGTTTCTTCTTTCTCCCCATTCTTAGTCTATAGATTGCTTGATTTGTTCTCGACACATACCAAAGTTTATTATTGGCATTGGTTATTCTATATATATTTGGATGGCCATGAGGGCCTTATTGAATTGACTTTTGATATACATGGTTTTGTTGATCATGCTCTCTTCTTGTGCAATTGTATATACATTCTCAAGTTGTTCTCGTTTTGTGAATATTTGTTTGTATAAAGTCTTTTCTT